GATCCCCTCCTGGGTAGACCCTCGGGGGGGGGGCCGGTCCCATGTCTGGCGCTGAGGGGGGGTCGTGTGGCTGAGAGACGGCCGGTGGGGGTGGAGGCATTGATGGCGCGGACGAGTGCTTGAACGAGTCAAAGGAGGGGTAGGAAAGGCCCCCGGGGGGGGGACCCTGAGGGGGGGGTCCTCCGGTGCGCATTCCAGGGAAGGGAGGCTGGTCGTGGGGCCCCCCGCTTTGCTCCGGGGGGGGGTGCGATAAGCTGAAGCCGTTGAAGGCCTCGGAGGGGGGTTGCGGAGGGGGGATGGACGGGAGGTTGTCGCTGAAGGAGACGGGGCGGTCCAAAGAGGGGGCCTGGCTGGAGGCCTGTGGAAGAATCAGGTTCGAGATTGGTATTTGAGCCGCGTCGCAAAACCAGCTTTGAGGCTAAGCCTGGGTCGTTCCACAACAATCAGGCTAAGATCCAAATGATACGCAATCAGCATGTATCAGGCATAATCGTTTTCGGCTTTTCTCCCCTTGGTCGCTGCCGAGAAGAAGACTGGACACAATGCCCCTCTGTAGGGTGACATTAAGGTCCGAGTTTATTGAGACTGCGCAGAAGAGTGCGCGAAGAAGTGGTCACGGTTCTTGATAACCACTCCCCCAGAACAGCGCGTCAAGAGAAACAAAGCCAAAGGCAGAAGAAGGCTCAGACTCAAGGACTCGAGAATGAAGACCCGCATACGAAAAGGCTTCCAAAACGAGGCTCAGACACAAGGTCCATGCAACAAGGCCCCCCGAAGCAAGATCCCCGACACAGCCCCACTCTATACCAGACAACCCCAAGACAAGGCCCCAATTTATACCACAGGAAAGCAATTCAACATACCAGACAACCCCAAAACAAGGCCCCACTTTAAACCACAGGAGACCAATTCAACACCCCAGAAGCAACGTCCCAGAAGCAAGGGCCAGAATAGAAGGACCCCAAAACACAAGCACCGAATCAATGTTCCAAAGCAAGACCCCAGGTAGATAAGCTTACCAACGAATCATCTTGGTCCATGGTCGCATCACCCCCCGGAGGGCCGGCCATCGGTTTGCGCCCGTCTCTCAACGCTGCGCGGATGTCTGCCGCTTTCCATACGGCGTACTTCTGCTTCTCAGCGATCTGGAAGCGAGGAGCTTGAGACTTGTGAGAAGAGGCATTCACGGGTGTTGAGATTTGAACACCGCCAGCGAGAGTCAATTGTACAAATCTGACTCTAAAGCTGTATGGGCAATCGAAGCAGGATAGTTCAGAAGAGCATCCTCGGTATTGGATAATCGAAGCGAGCTGGCAGGCGTCGATTTTATGCCGCAGCCAAGATTCTGAAAGCGCCTTGGAGCAGAGGCAGGTATAGAAAAGGCGTTGCATTCCACTGGCTTGGATTCCGTTAGGTTGAGTTCCGTTGGCTTGGATCCTGTTGGCTTGAATTCCCATCATTCATGGGCGATGAGCAATGCGAAAAGTATGCGTTTGAATGGACGAAAACGATTTCCGAGGGGCTCTGCCAAGACACGCCCTGGGGCCATCTGACGTGTCAAAGAGACCTCAGATAGCCAATAGCGGATTCAAAAAGCTGGTGAAGTTCGACAGGCGTAAAGTTCAATGTTTGTCGGCTGAAGGCCTTACGTCGGGGTGCAGCTCCCCAAACTGCCGCAGCATGTCAAAGAAGATGCTGGCAGCATAGAAGGTCTTGGCCGTGTTCCTGCAAAACGCTCTCTTGTCAACCTCAGGACCTTATACAGCATAAATAACTAGTAAGAGCAGCTGATGCCGGAATGCTGCAGAGTGCGCGCCTTCTTAGAGTCCGTCCGACTTGCCGGGTTTCATCTGACAAAGGGAATCTCAACCCCAGAGACTTAAGTTGACCCATCTGAGTGCATTTTAAAATTGAACAAAGAAGGGCACTTGGCCATTGATTCCTCAAACGGGCTGATCATCGAAAAGGGGCACAACTTTCTTGAACCAACGGCCTTCTCACAAGTGCCCGAGACATCCCAAAAACTCATCGTACAAGATTACAAACTTTCTAGCCTAGCTTCGACTCTGCTTTTACAGGATTTCTTGGTTTGATCAGGGGAGCGAAACCTGGCGATGTTGTCCACAATCAACCAAAGGGCTAACATTAATGGAAAAGGACCCGTGTTAAGAAAAGCTAATCCACTTAAGTAGACAAAACAAGACATGAGATGGCAACCACAACTCACAAGTCAGCTTTCCCCGCCCGGTCCTGCTTGTCTGCCTTGGCAAACACGTTAAGCGCAAAGCCCTCGACATACATGGGGTCGTCCTGCTCGTTCAACTTGACCGCCTTCTTGTCCTGCAGAACGGGCAGCGATGCAAAATACGGCTTTATAAGACTTTCCTCTTGAGTTGCATCTATTTGACAGCTGTCAATGCTGGCTGCAAAGATAGTGCCGTCCTAATGGCATGACAGAATTGGGTTTGGAGTGACAGCCATCTTTAACCTCGGCTTCAGTATCGACCTTGTCTATGCAACTTTGACCAGCGAATGCTTGAAGTTTGAAGACTGCGATGGGTGGAATCCCGTCAGTTTGAAACAAATGGCTTGATAGTGAAGTGGTGCTTGAGGCGGTCTCATCTGCAATTGCTCCACTCCTTGGCATCTTCAGGCAGGACATTCAGGCAACGTTTCAGGAGACGTTTCAAGCAACGCTACGCCCCTCAACCATTGTAGCCTGGGGTGATCTGCAGCAATGAATGCAATGCCGCCAGTGCTTCCTATCTTTTTTGTCTCGCACCTTTTCTAGCTGGATTAGAATCGACTTGAGCAGGTCATTGGTGGTCTGTGTCCGCTGTGCCTTTGGGATCTTGATGCCCTTGTCCACTGCATACATGCGACCTGCATACGAAGAGAAAACCCCGGTGTAAGGCATGGTCTATGCACCAACCTGTTCTGACGAAATATTAAGGCTGTCTAAATGGATAACCAATTCGCTCCCCAACCATATCAAATCGGAGATGAGGTAAGTACGGAAGATCTCATCGCAATTGAGCACCGAAGGATCTGCGCAATCAACCTCCGTAAATAAACGGCCGTCTGCTATGCACTGCTGCAGCAATGCATTGTTTTGATCCCACCTGTTCAGCCAAGAAGAATATCAGAACTCAAGGCAGTGCCCCAAAGATTGGCTCATGAAAGTGCAAAAGCATAAACTCCAGCTAGATAAATCAATATAGATGGCTCACAGTAGTAAGATATGAGAGGATCATGCTTTTGCAGCTCGTCGGCTCGTTGAAGATAGGGGAGGAGACCTTTCGCTGGCTCCGGATCCGCCATGCTGCTTATTGATCAATACTCCAGAAACCCTGGCCCCGAACAACTGAGAAGCTGATTCTCTACTCAATTTTGAAGGCAGAAGAAAGCACCACTTATGCACCTCAAAGATGAGCCGCGAGCGCCCTAGCTAGCTGGTGGCACTGTCCTGAGGCTGTACCCCACACGGCGACCAGGCCAGCTAGGCCCGCATGCGGCTACCCCGTAACTAGAGGCGGTGCATTCTGACGGGCGGTGTGCAATGTTGCCATGCGACGAGTCCAAGCTCCTGTGCGGTAATGGGCGGCTGGATTCGGTAACGCTCTTTGAAGATCTGCAATAGACCTTGTGTCATCCGATGGGATTGATCGACGGACACGAGAGGCCAAAGGTGACATCAGCAATTCAGATACGACAAATTTGAAATCAGTGATCTTCGGTCCCTCGTGCACTCTGCAGAAGCCTGAACAGTGACTGTGAGGGGACCGACGAAAGGTAGGTAATATGATCGCCTCCGGGTTGAGTGTGAATACGGCATTCAATACCGCACGACTTAGCTGCAGCCTCAGGCCAGATGTCGCGCGCGCATTCTGCGCCACTGCGGCGGAGTCCGGCCAGCTCAGAGCCTTGGAAAGTCGGAGACGCACTCGCGGAGTTCCGTTCTGACAAGTTTCAGGCGCCGGTGACCGGTCGGTTGAAGAAAGAAGCTGACTAAATAGTACACACGCCTAGCTCTCGGATGCATGGGACACCCGGCGAGGCAAACCGGGCAGTGCCCTGACGAAACCGTTGACAACTGTAACAGTGTAAGGATATATTCACACACTTTCACAGTGGGCTCCGGACTCGGAGTCCGGAGACTGGATCGTCAGGCGCGAAGTCCTCTAGAGCTCTGTGACCTGTCGCCTGAGCTGCATGTTGGTCATGAAACTGAACTGGTCAATTTCAAGAGTTCAGCAGAATCGAAGTCGTTGGCGCCACCTTCCCTTCCAGCTCCTCCATATTTCGAGTTCCCCCAGCCTGCAATTCTGCAAAGCTTGCTCAAGCACATTTGTCTCAACTTTCTCCCGCTTGCCCTGTTCCTTCCATTCCATTCCTTCTCACCAAAATGGCAGACGAGCAGCCGACCAAGGTAGCCAAGTTGGCCCCAGAGCAGAGCCCTGCTGCCGCCTCAAAGGTGAGTATGCTCGGTGCGTGGTTGGTTTTGAGAATCAGAAAGTTCATAGTCCAGTATCTGCAAGGAACCCATGAAGTCTGTGCCTGCTGGCAAAAAGCTGTTACATCCAAGGGGGATGGTTGTTTGAAGACCTGCTGGTTTACCACCCCCACTGGGAGGAATGACTGGGGAAAGAAAAATAGCTGTAGCACATGGCACCTTGAAAAGAGCAAAGAGGGGAGCTAAAACATTGCAAGTGAGCTGCATGCAGGATGAGCCCCTTCAGATTGTTGCTGAGCTCTGGCTGAAGTATGAGTTCATGGCCTAGATAAATAGTCATCCATCGAGTTGTGCTCAGTCATCAAAAGTGGTCAATGTTGAATGGTCCTTCTTGTGACAGCAAGGTGATGCCTGGGGCTCTTGAAAGCACCTGTATCAGAAGTGGCTTCCCTTTTTGGTGTTGGTTCTCAGCCCTTGATTCGTCACGTGCGAGGAGACTGTTTCAGCCAAGTTACATGAAAGAGGGAATCTCAATCTTTTGAGCTGAAATGTGTATGCTACTCTTGGAGTGAGTGGTTCTATAACCTCTACACTGGGGACCATCTTAGTTTGCATGCAGCTTTAGAGGTTACCCCTACATAATGCACCAGTATTCTCTCACCTACAGTCCTATTCTGCCTATTTTCTGTCGATCTGTGGAATATTGGAGGAAGCGCTTTCATGTAGAAACACATTGCTTACCGATCTTTGGCAGAATAGATTCTCTGGTCTCTGCAATGGAAGGAAGAGGCTGAAGTCTTTCGTATCCAAGGAGCAACAGGTTTCTGTGAAAGTGTTCCCAACATGTAACTATTTGGCTGGGTGACTCTCGGCAACTGTAGTGAACTGAAGTCAAAAAGAACTTCTGTCTAGTGAGTTTTCTGGTCTCAGCTATGTCTGGGTAATAGCAGTGGTCCAGGGAGGGGTTCCTTGCTTGTTTACCTCTCTGTTTGCTTGGCCATGTCCAGGTTGGGGCAATAATCTGGTATGCCGGTCAAGTCCAGCAGGGCGATCTTTAGGTATATTTATGGACAAAGGGTATTCGGCGGTTCCTTGGATCACCCCTCAAGTGTTTCTTGGTTGTAAGACTTGGTTATCACTTTTTTGATCTTTGTAGTCACATCGTTCCACCATCACTTTAATACGGAACAAGTGAATCAGTAGGACTCCTCTGAGTGAGGAACTTTGTAGACTTACCTTATTTGTACTGCAGTATATTTCCCCCAGGACTCTGGTCTCTGCTGTGCCACTTATTTGTTCCCAATACCAAGGGGAAAGGTTGACAGCTTTTGATACTCTCAGGCTGTGGTCATCTTACCCTAGCATCAGGCTGGCAATAAACGCTGATCTGCTCTTTGGCAGGCTCTTGACGATGTAGTTGAACAGGGGGAAGGAGAAGAACATCGATGATGCGTGGTCTTTCTATGTTACCTTAATATCAGGCTGAACGCTGGTTTGCTCCCTGGCAGGCTGTTGACGAAGCAATCGAGAAGGTGAAGAACACTGACAACTCGGAGGCCGACGCCCTTCCTTCCACAGACGCTGCTACTGCCAGCGAGCCCAGCCTAACAGAGAAGAAGATTGACCTCGAGGGAGCTGCCAAGGAGGCCGCTGAAGCTGAAAAGCCTGCAGACGCAGAGAAGGTATGGTCTCGAGCTCACTAATCTCCATCTGGAGAGGGCTATTGGCAACCAGCTAGAAACATGGCGTGGCACATCGGAGAACTGTTTGCCCTTGACCTTAGGGGCCTTGGAGAAGAAGCTTTGTCACTGTTTTGTACGGTCAAGTGCCACCGTTCTTAGGGCTCGTGACTTGGTAAGTGCTTGGTTGCAGACATGTTGTCGTTCAAGGGTCAAGGCTTTCCAAGAAGTGGTCTTGGTTTCTTCACGCAGACATCATCTCGTCCTTTCAGTCACTGCGGACGAACTTCTGGAGGTCTGTTTTTTGGCTTTTCCCCCCTCGCTCTGAAGGACCCCTTCTTTCTCATGGGTACCTTTGATGAAGGCCCATTTGATTCTTCTGACGGGGGAATGCTTTCTGTCCGTTTCAGTCCATGGTTCTCCGAAACGAGTATTCCAATCAATTGCTTCAATCAATTGCTTTGAGGAAGACCCACTGTCTTGGTACTTGATCATGTCTCCACTTTTCTCCAACACGAGAAGTATTGTCTGTCTACCTCTTGACAGACAACAGCTCTGGTCTTGGGGAAGTCTTCGAGGTTAAAGGGTTGCTCAACCATCAATAAACTAGGCAACGAAAGAGAAAGGTCTCTACCTTTTGCCTTGCCTCTCCGCCTTTCAGTAAGTATTAAGGCAGTTTTTCTGTTGTCTTGTAGGAGGAGAAGACAGAGGAGCCTGCGAGCGAGAAGGCAGAGGACGTTGCTGCGAACGGAAAAGAGGGCGACGAGAAGGAGGAAGAGAAAGGCGAGGAGAAGGCTGAGGATGAGCCCAAGGAGGAAACAGTGACGGATCTGGGCAATGGACCTCTCAAGTTCGTTGTCAACACTGTGAAGGAAGCGGTTGGTGCAGAGCCAGTCAAGTAGATGATTGAATGGTGGTTTTTGACGAGTAGGAGGTAGGCCTTTCCTTGAGAGCCTTGACGCAGAGGTTTGCTGAGGTTGTGTGCCGAGATAAGAGCAGGTCTTTCTCTGAAAGACTTAGCAGGTACGGTTGAGTGTACCATGCCTTAGCTCTGATGACGGGCCCTCCTGAGTTGCGTACCATAGCAGGGTTTGACGGAAGAAGGATAGAACTTCGAAAGATGGACACCCTATAAAGGCACGTTCCAGTGTTGGCTTGTTGGCTTGTACCGTACGCACTGCTTGCCAATTGGCATTGCAGGAGGCTGCACTGTACTTTTCAGAGATCAGCAGCAGTGTTGGTCTGCATTTTCTGAAACATAGGTGGGAATATCTTGTGTTTGTAAGCATGGAAACTAATTAAATCCTGGTAATACACCAACTTACTTTCAATAAGAGCATTGATTTGTGTATCTTTTCTACATGCAAGTGTCAAGTTACATTGGATGACGGATCTGAGTGCGGCCTCCTCAGCCTCAAGCGCTCCATTTGAACAGGATATAATTTCAGTGTCTTATTTAACAGTGTCTTATTTAACATGAGCACGTGTGTTCGCCATAAACAAAGGTGACCGGAATATAGCTGCTGACAACTTATGATCGTATATACGTCGTGCATGATCGACTATATGTGCATATTCGATGGATGCACAGTTCGGGCCCACTTTTTACCCGGTGACCGGCTCGAGCTAGATCAATCTACTATTATGAATATTCAACTAGGCCATATAGCTGTCCGGTGAAATTGGCCCGCGAGCTAGGGCCCGGCCAACTCTAAGCCTAGCCCGCTCCTGGCTCAGATTGCCAGGGGCCGCAAGCTCTTTCAACGTAAGCAGCGGATGCTGCAGACGGTAGCGCCATGTACACGTCCGAGTACGTATACTGCACACTGCCCTAGCTAGTAATATAAGAGCTCCAAATTGCATAGAAGAAACGGCCGCCTATGATACTGGAACGCTAAAACGACCCTTGGTGGATTCTGGTGGAATTGGGTTCCGTAACGGGTCAAGAAGGTGGTTAAAAAGTCAATGGGTTATGATATAAAAGCTATGGGAGTGAGGTTCGATCCACTGCTCCATCAATGAAGAACCTTGGGGCCCTGAAACATTAGATAACCTAAACAGTTCCAGCGACAGCTTTGTATGAAGGTCGTTGGGGCCCTTGAAAGGCAGGCAATTACGCTAAT